TGTTCGTGCTGAGCGCACTAGTAGTCGTGGTTCGCGTCAGCGTCCTCCCCCTGTCCCAGGCACGCACCGGATGTCTCTGCGTCCCTCCACTGCTCCGCTGCGTGCCCCTTTGCCTTCTCCTCCTGAGTCCTCTCTTCCTGTTCCTGCTGACCCGGAGTCGGACTCCCTTCGTGCTGCCAGTCCTACTGTCACGCGTCTCCTTGCTACTGTTGTCACTGACCCTTCCTTTGAGTCCGCTGCTGCGTCTGCCTTTTCTGAGCTTGTCGACTTCGCTGCTCGCTGTCGCCAAGACTACACTGCTAGTCTTGTCGCTGAGTCTGCGTCTGTCTGTCCTCCGTCCGTCGGGGGTGAGTGTGCTCTTGGCACGGACGTCCTTGAGGACAGGCAGGAGGAGTTCCAGTGCTTTTCTGCTGCTTCACCTCATCTTGTGTCCATGCTGCTTGCCCCTGAGGGAGACCCGGATGCACTAGATATCCCGACTCCGCGCTCCTACGCGGAGGCGATAGAGGGTCCCTACTCCTCTCAGTGGCAGGCAGCCATGGATGCAGAGATGGCTTCCTGGAAGTCCACAGGCACCTACGTCGACGAGGTTCCCCCTCCTGGGGCGAACATCGTCAGTGGCATGTGGATTTTCAGGGTGAAGCGGCCGCCGGGTTCTCCGCCTGTCTTCAAGGCGCGTTACGTGGCTCGTGGCTTCAGTTAGCGGCAGGGAGTTGACTACTTTCAGACCTTCTCTCCCACCCCGAAGATGACCACTCTTCGGGTACTGCTGCACATAGCCGCTCACCGTGACTACGAGCTTCACTCTCTTGACTTCAGCACTGCTTTCTTGCAGGGCAGCCTGCACGAGGAGATCTGGCTGCGCCGCCCACCTGGCTTCACTGGGTCTTTTCCTCCTGGTACCAAGTGGAGCCTCCGGCGGCCAGTCTACGGTCTCCGCCAGGCACCTCGTGAGTGGCACGACACACTGAGGACTACACTTGCGGCTCTTGGGTTTGCTCCTTCTACTGCCGACCCGTCGCTGTTTCTGCGCACCGACACTTCTTTGCCGCCGTTCTACATCCTCGTGTACGTCGACGACTTGGTCTTTGCCACAGCTGACACTGCTGGACTCGCTCACGTGAAGTCCGAGCTGCAGAAGAGACACACGTGCACATACCTGGGTGAACTGCGCAGCTACCTTGGCTTGCAGATCACCCGGGACAGAGCACAGCGCACCATTACCCTGACTCAGTCACACATGGTGCAGCAGGTCCTTCAGCGCTTCGGCTTCACGTGCTCCTCGCCTCAGGCCACTCCTCTGTCTACTCGCCACTCGCTCTCAGCTCTGCCTTCGGATGAGTCCGTAGAGTCGAGTGGCCCGTACCCAGAGCTTGTTGGCTGCCTCATGTACCTGATGACCTGCACTCGACCTGACCTTGCATACCCTCTTAGCATTCTGGCACGCTATGTTGCTCCTGGGAGACACAGACCAGAGCACATGGCTGCAGCGAAGAGGGTGTTGCGCTACTTGTGCAGTACGTCGGGCATGGGGCTTGTGCTTGGAGGGTGGAGTCCAGTGGTCCTCACTGGTCACGCAGACGCTTCTTGGGCTGACGACCAGGCTACGCAGCGGTCGTCACAGGGTTACACCTTCAGCCTTGGTTCCGGCTCTGTTTCGTGGTGGTCTACCCGCTCGTCTTCTGTTCTCGGCTCCAGTTGTGAGGCTGAGATCTACGCGGGGGCCATGGCTGCACAGGAGTTACGCTGGCTCACCTACCTGCTGACTGACCTTGGAGAGCAGCCTCGTTCGCCTCCAGTTCTGTACGTAGACAACAAGGCCATGCTGGCCTTGTGTCGGGAGCACAGACTGGAGCACAGAACGAAGCACATTGCTCTTCGCTACTTCCTTGCTCGTGAGCGGCAGCAGCGTGGTCAGCTGCGACTTGCTTACGTGGCCTCTCAGGCCAACACTGCTGATATCTTCACCAAGGCACTCGCGCCTTGTGATCATCAGCGCTTCTGTACTCTGTTAGGTCTTGTACCTACTTTGCCTCACTTGCTCACTTCTTGACTTTGCTTGTACTGTGACCTATATATACTTGCACTTGCTTGTTTAGCTTTATATATATCTGCTTGCATGTGAACTGGCCTTGTGGCCCTTGAACTTGCGCTCAGAATGTGTGGTGACGTTGGGATCCACCCTGAGCTTGTTGTGCTTTGCTTGACTGGTCTTGTGACCCCTTGTTCTCCCCCACTTTGCCTATGGGGGTGTGTCGAACTTATATGCGATAGTCTTTCTAGGCTGTAGTGGGGTAGACAGTATGGGGTACAGCTTTTTAGGGTTTCATATTTGTACCCAACTCTTTTCTTAGTTCATTCATTCTCGTTCTAAATTCACACCTTCCCCCATAGTCTAGCTCCCTTTGTAAAGTTTATCTCCGCACCATCTCCCATCTCCCATCGCCCATCTCTTATCTCCCATCTCCCATCTCCCCCACTTTCCATCCCCTATCTCCCACCTCCCATCTCCCACCTCCCATCTCCCATCCCCCATCCCCCATCTCCCATCTCCCACTTTCCATCTTTCATTTCCCATCTCCCATCTCCCATCTGGTGGCACAAAGGGCGTGTCAACGTTGTAACGAGTCTGAATTTGACGGCAGATGGTTCTAGTCTGCTCGCGCTGGTGCACGAATGAATTCCTCTTGACGTAACTGATCTTTAAGAGCTTTTGAATCAGGTCGGACAAACGCACCACCCATACGATATCTCGAAGTCATGATGCCCCTCGTCTGCTGCATGCAGTCCCTGACGAAGCTGAAAACTGTCATAATGAAGCAACATAAGGCTTCAAGAATATGAGGAATCAGCTTTACGTTTCGACAGTCTTGTAACGACGATGCAGGGACTACATTTCAGTTTCACGAGCAGATGCAGCTGATGCGGTTTTGGAGTATGAGGGGCCATGCTGGGAATTAACAACAGAAACTTCTAACGTCCGCATTGTCCCCGAGTTGATGTTACGAGAGCTGATGTCTGGGCGGCGTCCTGGAAAAAGGAGGGAATCCTCCAGCTGCACAACTTAAAGCCGGCAGCCCAAATTGCACAACTTCTAAAAGCTTGACGCGAGGGGGTTTTTCTGGTCTGGGGTTTGTCGAACGTTTTCGTTTTCGGTTCTTTCTTTTTTTCGTCAAACCCAGCCCGCCCTCGTATTTCGCCCTGGGGGTTGGTTCAGTCCCCGAAAGTCCCAAATTGCAGGCGCGCTTTTTTTCAAACCTTGCAAACACTAGTTCGTCAAGTTTTAAAAGCTTGACCCGCGCGGCCCGCAATTTGGGCCGCGGGCTTTAACCAAGCTCGTACGTGATGCAGTGCAATAGATAATTTGGACTCAGATTGCCGAGATTGGATGATTCACGTACAAATATTCATGTACAGCAGTACAGCCATCCTGTGTATGTATCATGAATACTACCCATCTCTCAATTGACCTTCCCTTGAGTCGAGTTTCCTTGTACTGCCTGTGGCAGAAAGCTACGTCCACTCATTCCATGGCTGTCCGTCGGTCCAACAGAAGGAATCTCAGCGACGAAATAAGTGGTTCCCTGATTACAGACGAATCTCCGCGAGCAACTGAATACGCATTTGCGTAACTATGTACCTCCAAGCGACCGAATAAGCGTTTCATTGACATGAGCCGGCATTTCAGAGATCAGGGTTTCGGCGCGTAACAGCGACGACGCGTAATAGCGACGACGCTTAACCGTCTCATAACGGCGATCAAGCATTTCAGCGACTATGTGTGTGATTGAACTGAGTCAAGCTCTCGTCAAAGAATCAGTCCGTTGATATAACAGCGGCCACGCATGACAGCGATCAAGCATCTCAGCACATTGTGATCTCCGTCTCGCACACCAGAGCGACCTGTCTCGCACACGTGGCGATCAATCCACTGACAGCACACGTGGCGAGCAATCCACTGTGTAGCAGATGTGGCGACGAGGCTTAGATCCGCTGAGGAAACTGACACGTGGCGACCTGAGATGCGCGGAGCAGATTGCAAGATGGCGAGGCAACGACCCGGCTGTATGTGCGAGTCACTTGAGACTCGTGCAGATATGCGTTCCCTCCGCTCTCACTTCGTCCGTTCCTTCTGCTCTTCCTCCTCCTTTACCATCAGCAGCAGCACCAACAGCACCAGCAGCAGCAGCAGCGGCAGGAAGAGTAGCAGCTCCAACATTACTTACAACTCCCACTGGATCGGAAGCATCGTACAGCAGCTTCCGTGCCTACACTAACGGTCCTGCCGAACCTGCTCGGCTGGCTCGGTCCAAACCAGCTTCCGACTCCAGGCTGGCAGCAGCAGCAGCAGCAGCAGCAGCAGCAGCAGCTGCTGCTGCTGCAGCTGCGGCCTTGGGATTGTCGGCAGTGCACGCAGCAGAAGCACCAGAGGGGTACAGCAGCAATGCTGGCGTGGGTTCAGGGCGAGAGGGATCCGCGGGTGATGCTTCAGCAAGGCCAGTGCAATGGGCTGCAGGAAGGGGAGAGGGAGGTGAGGGACCGGCAGTGGGGAACAAACACACGGCGCGCTGGCGAGTGTTCACAGACCGAGGAAGGGAGCTCTTCTCGCAGGTGAGCAATTCAGCCGAGGTTGTTCAGAAGTTTGATTATTCAGGTGAATTTGTTCCGCTCTCTCCCTCCCCCTCACTCCCCTGGTTCGTCTGCTGGTCGCAGAGTGGCAGCGAGCAATAGAGGAGGCGAGAGCGGGCTTAGGGTGAATTTTCATGCATCAGGCACGCAGGAAGTATCTTCTTGCCTTCCACCACACACCAAGGCCTCCTTTCCACCCCCCCAACTCTGCCCCTCGTCCCTCTTAGGGTCGACTACAGGATGCAGAGCGGTACCTGCGGCGGGCTATAGAGGAGGCGAAAGGGAGCTGTGGGTGCGTCCGCGTGCATCAGGCTGAACTGCTCTCATCACGCCCTCCTTTCCACCTCTCTATCTCTTCCTCTTCCTCCCAGGGTCGACTACAGGATGCAGAGCGGTACCTGCAGAGGGCCAAAGAGGAGGCGAAGGCGGGCTTTGGACCGTCTGATCCCCACGTTGCATCCAGCTGCCATAACCTGGTAGGCAAGACTAGAGATAGAGGGGAAGGGGGAAGAAGGCGGGTGGGGTTGGTAAGTGGGTTGCATGAGTAGCACCGTTGGGCCTTTTGATAACCTCATGTCCCCTCCGCCCTTTCTCTCCTTCCACCCCGCACACCAGGCAGAGCTTTACCGAGTGATGGGGGAGTGGGGGGCGGCAGAGCATCTCTGGTCGGTCAATGAGGCCGCTCTGCCCCTGCTGCCTTTGCTCCACCTCATTTCTTCGCCCTCCCTCTCTCTTCTTCCCCGCACACCAGGCAGAGCTGTACCGAGTAATGGGGGAGTGGGAGGCTTCAGAGCGTCTGTTCCAAGAGGCTGCAGAGCGGTTGAGAGCGGTGGAAATGCCTTTGGCGCTTGCAGCCACCCTGCATAACTTGGGAGGGCTGTACCTGCAACAGGCTCAGCTGGGGCAGGCTCAACTGGAGAAGGCTCGTGTGTGCTACGAGGTTGGTGTGCTATATATATATATATATTAGCTGAGTTTGTCTTTCTTGGCCCTTATTTCTATAGCAGGAGGTGGGTTGGATGGGAGCGAGGAGTTCCCTTTTACAGCTTCTACTTTCATACCAGCAGCCCTCGTTTCGTATGCTGTGTTCACGTACCCTCCTCTTTGTCCCATGTGCTGACGTGGCTTGTGATGGCAACCTGTGGGGACCACGGGCCGTGGATTGACGTGGCACACAATCTATTCAATTGACATATCCTGCTGCACTCATTGCCTCAACAAACCACACCTCCTGCGCTCCACAGGAGGCTCTCAAGGTGTGTTGCTGCCGCCATATTCTTTGAAATCTGCAGTTATGCTACTTGTTTGATATGCTGTAACTCTTCTCTTCATGCTTCCCATCCTCATGTACCCTTCTGGCTCCCATCTCTTTCACATTTCACCCTCCCTGTCTTTGCCGCAACCCACAGCTCAAGGCGAAGGAACTGGGCGAGTCCCATCCAGATTACGCCAACAATATGTTCCACCTCGCCGAGGTGAGTGAGGGGATAGGTGAGAGAGTGAGGGGATAGGTGAGAGCAGACAGAGGGCAATACCGACGACCAAGGTCACTCGCCTTCTGAGACGACTCACAAGTCACTTCCTCTGATTGCCACCCAGACCACGCGAACACCATGTTCCACCTTGCAGAGGTGAGTGAGGGGATTGGTGAGTGAGTGAGGGGATTGGTGAGTGAGTGAGGGGATTGGTGAGTGAGTGAGGGGATTGGTGAGTGAGTGAGGTGATAGGTGATTGAGTGAGGGGATTGGTGAGTGAGTGAGGGGATAGGTGATTGAGTGAGGGGATTAGTGAGTGAGTGAGGGGATTGGTGAGTGAGTGAGGGGATTGGTGAGTGAGTGAGGGTATTGGTGAGTGCGTACGGGGATGGGCGAGTGAGTGAGGGGATTGGTGAGTGAGTGAGGGGATTGGTGAGTGCGTACGGGGATGGGCGAGTGAGTGAGGGGATTGGTGAGTGAGTGAGGGGATTGGTGAGTGTGTACGGGGATGGGCGAGTGAGTGCGGGGATTGGTGAGTGAGTGCGGGGATTGGTGAGTGAGCGAGGGGATTGGTGAGTGAGTGCGGGGATTGGCGAGTGAGTGCGGGGATTGGTGAGTGAGTGCAGGGATTGGTGAGTGAGTGCGGGGATTGGTGAGTGAGTGCGGGGATTGGTGAGTGAGTGCGGGGATTGGTGAGTGAGTGCGGGGATAGGTGAGTGAGTGCGGGGATTGGTGAGTGAGTGCAGGGATTGGTGAGTGAGTGCGGGGATTGGTGAGTGAGTGCGGGGATTGGTGAGTGAGTGCGGGGATTGGTGAGTGAGTGCGGGGATAGGTGAGTGAGTGCGGGGATTGGTGAGTGAGTGCGGGGATTGGTGAGTGAGTGCGGGGATTGGTGAGTGAGTGCGGGGATTGGTGAGTGAGTGCGGGGATTGGTGAGTGAGTGCGGGGATTGGTGAGTGAGTGCGGGGATTGGTGAGTGAGTGCGGGGATTGGTGAGTGAGTGCGGGGATTGGTGAGAGTGCGGGGATTGGTGAGTGAGTGCGGGGATTGGTGAGTGAGTGCAGGGCCACACATGGGCCTTCCAACGTGGCTCGTGATAATCTCACCTTTTGAGTCGACTCAGAATTTTGAGACGTCTTTCCAAATTCACGATCCAGTCCGTCCATCTTTATCCACCGTTTTCCCTCCCATGTGTTTGCACCCATCAGGTGTTTCATCGGTTGGGGCGACGGGAGGAAGCACAGGCACTGCTGCAAGGCTCTGTGAAAATTCTCGAGGTATGGGGTTGCTATTTTGGAGAACTGTGGATTTGCAACTGCGGAGAGGTATGGGCTCTTTGAACATGGTGGAGAGGAGACATACATTCAGCTGACATACATATGCTTGGGCTTGCTAGCATGTTAATACTCACCGGAGTTTCACCCCACACAATGCATGCCAAATCATTTGTTAACTGTGCACATGCTTCTTCGTTTTTGTGTGTTCATGCTTGCTGGTTTGGCCAGGGCAGTGCGGGTAGTCGAGGAACAACAGCAATGGCTCGGCGTATGATGCTGCTGGCACAGGTGGGGCGGTGGCTGGCAACAAGGGCGAGACGAGTAGTGTGAGCAGGGCAGTGCCATCTGTGAACTCCTTTTGAGGTGCCTCAAAAAGTGTGCTGCTGGTACAGGTGGAGTGATGGCTCGCTCGCTCAGCAGCTAGGGGCGAGACGAGTAGTGTGATGTGAGCAGGGCAGTGCCATCTGTGAACGTCCACTGGTTCTACTGACAGATGCTTCTTCTGACAGATGCTTCTTCTGACAGATGCTTGTGCAGTTAGCTCCTTTAAATCTGATTTCAGAATTTTCAAAAGCCGTTCACACTTCTCTGTTTCTCTCTGCTCTTGACGTTGACAGATGCTTGTGCAGTCAGCATCAGCACCCGCAGTCACCCTCCCCGCCACTGCGGTTATCAATGGAGAGCGGCAGGGGCAGCAGGGGCAACAGCAGCAAGGGGACAGCGGCAGCAGTAGTGGTGGAGACGCGGAGTTGCTGAGGGAGGCTGAGAGGCTGCAAAGACGAGCCATCCATGCAGTGGAGATGGGTGAGGTGAGTCGACACCATGCGGTGGAGATGGGTGAGGTGAGTCGACACCATGCGGTGGAGATGGGTGAGGTGAGTCGACACCATGCGGTGGAGATGGGTGAGGTGAGTCAACACCATGCGGTGGAGATGGGTGAGGTGAGTCGACACCATGCGGTGGAGATGGGTGAGGTGAGTCGACACCATGCGGTGGAGATGGGTGAGGTGAGTCGACACCATGCGGTGGAGATGGGTGAGGTGAGTCGACACCATGCGGTGGAGATGGGTGAGGTGAGTCGACACCATGCGGTGGAGATGGGTGAGGTGAGTCGACACCATGCGGTGGAGATGGGTGAGGTGAGTCGACACCATGCGGTGGAAATGGGTGAGGTGAGTCGACACCATGTGCACCAGCAATGCTCATGGTGTCCAGAGCTCCAGTCCAGAGCTCCAGTCCAGAGCTCCAGTCCAGAGCTCCAATCCAGAGCTCCAGTCCAGAGCTCCCGTCCAGAGCTCCCGTCCAGAGCTCCAGTCCAGAGCTCCAGTCCAGAGCTCCCGTCCAGAGCTCCAGTCCAGAGCTCCAGTCCAGAGCTCCCGTCCAGAGCTCCAGTCCAGAGCTCCAGTCCAGAGCTCCAGTCCAGAGCTCCAGTCCAGAGCTCCAGTCCAGAGCTCCAGTCCAGAGCTCCAGTCCAGAGCTCCAGTCCAGAGCTCCAGTCCAGAGCTCCAGTCCAGAGCTCCAGTCCAGAGCTCCCGTCCGGAGCTCCAGTTCAGAGCTCCAGTCCAGAGCTCCCGTCCAGAGCTCCAGTCCAGAGCTCCCGTCCAGAGCTCCAGTCCAGAGCTCCCGTCCAGAGCTCCAGTCCAGAGCTCCAGTCCAGAGCTCCAGTCCAGAGCTCCAGTCCAGAGCTCCAGTCCAGAGCTCCAGTCCAGAGCTCCAGTCCAGAGCTCCAGTCCAGAGCTCCAGTCCAGAGCTCCAGTCCAGAGCTCCAGTCCAGAGCTCCAGTCCAGAGCTCCAGTCCAGAGCTCCCGTCCAGAGCTCCAGTCCAGAGCTCCAGTCCAGAGCTCCCGTCCAGAGCTCCAGTCCAGAGCTCCAGTCCAGAGCTCCAGTCCAGAGCTCCAGTCCAGAGCTCCCGTCCAGAGCTCCCGTCCAGAGCTCCAGTCCAGAGCTCCAGTCCAGAGCTCCAGTCCAGAGCTCCAGTCCAGAGCTCCAGTCCAGAGCTCCAGTCCAGAGCTCCCGTCCAGAGCTCCAGTCCAGAGCTCCAGTCCAGAGCTCCAGTCCAGAGCTCCCGTCCAGAGCTCCAGTTCAGAGCTCCAGTCCAGAGCTCCAGTCCAGAGCTCCAGTCCAGAGCTCCAGTCCAGAGCTCCCGTCCAGAGCTCCAGTCCAGAGCTCCCGTCCAGAGCTCCCATCCAGAGCTCCAGTCCAGAGCTCCCGTCCAGAGCTCCAGTCCAGAGCTCCAGTCCAGAGCTCCAGTCCAGAGCTCCAGTCCAGAGCTCCAGTCCAGAGCTCCCGTCCAGAGCTCCAGTCCAGAGCTCCCGTCCAGAGCTCCAGTCCAGAGCTCCAGTCCAGAGCTCCAGTCCAGAGCTCCAGTCCAGAGCTCCAGTCCAGAGCTCCAGTCCAGAGCTCCAGTCCAGAGCTCCAGTCCAGAGCTCCAGTCCAGAGCTCCAGTCCAGAGCTCCAGTCCAGAGCTCCAGTCCAGAGCTCCAGTCCAGAGCTCCAGTCCAGAGCTCCAGTCCAGAGCTCCAGTCCAGAGCTCCCGTCCAGAGCTCCAGTCCAGAGCTCCAGTCCAGAGCTCCAGTCCAGAGCTCCAGTCCAGAGCTCCAGTCCAGAGCTCCAGTCCAGAGCTCCAGTCCAGAGCTCCAGTCCAGAGCTCCAGTCCAGAGCTCCAGTCCAGAGCTCCAGTCCAGAGCTCCAGTCCAGAGCTCCAGTCCAGAGCTCCAGTCCAGAGCTCCAGTCCAGAGCTCCAGTCCAGAGCTCCAGTCCAGAGCTCCAGTCCAGAGCTCCAGTCCAGAGCTCCAGTCAAGAGCTCCCGTCCAGAGCTCCAGTCCAGAGCTCCCGTCCAGAGCTCCAGTACAGAGCTCCCGTCCAGAGCTCCAGTCCAGAGCTCCAGTCCAGAGCTCCAGTCCAGAGCTGCAGTCCAGAGCTCCCGTCCAGAGCTCCCGTCCAGAGCTCCAGTCCAGAGCTCCAGTCCAGAGCTCCAGTCCAGAGCTCCAGTCCAGAGCTCCAGTCCAGAGCTCCAGTCCAGAGCTCCCGTCCAGAGCTCCAGTCCAGAGCTCCCGTCCAGAGCTCCAGTCAAGAGCTCCAGTCCAGAGCTCCAGTCCAGAGCTCCAGTCCAGAGCTCCAGTCCAGAGCTCCAGTCCAGAGCTCCAGTCCAGAGCTCCCGTCCAGAGCTCCAGTCCAGAGCTCCAGTCCAGAGCTCCCGTCCAGAGCTCCAGTCCAGAGCTCCAGTCCAGAGCTCCAGTCCAGAGCTCCAGTCCAGAGCTCCAGTCCAGAGCTCCAGTCCAGAGCTCCAGTCCAGAGCTCCAGTCCAGAGCTCCAGTCCAGAGCTCCAGTCCAGAGCTCCAGTCCAGAGCTCCCGTCCAGAGCTCCAGTCCAGAGCTCCAGTCCAGAGCTCCAGTCCAGAGCTCCCGTCCAGAGCTCCCGTCCAGAGCTCCAGTCCAGAGCTCCAGTCCAGAGCTCCAGTCCAGAGCTCCAGTCCAGAGCTCCAGTCCAGAGCTCCAGTCCAGAGCTCCAGTCCAGAGCTCCAGTCCAGAGCTCCAGTCCAGAGCTCCAGTCCAGAGCTCCAGTCCAGAGCTCCAGTCCAGAGCTCCAGTCCAGAGCTCCCGTCCAGAGCTCCAGTCCAGAGCTCCAGTCCAGAGCTCCAGTCCAGAGCTCCAGTCCAGAGCTCCAGTCCAGAGCTTCAGTCCAGAGCTCCAGTCCAGAGCTCCAGTCCAGAGCTCCCGTCCAGAGCTCCAGTCCAGAGCTCCCGTCCAGAGCTCCAGTCCAGAGCTCCAGTCCAGAGCTCCAGTCCAGAGCTCCCGTCCAGAGCTCCAGTCCAGAGCTCCAGTCCAGAGCTCCAGTCCAGAGCTCCAGTCCAGAGCTCCAGTCCAGAGCTCCAGTCCAGAGCTCCAGTCCAGAGCTCCCGTCCAGAGCTCCAGTCCAGAGCTCCAGTCCAGAGCTCCAGTCCAGAGCTCCAGTCCAGAGCTCCAGTCCAGAGCTCCAGTCCAGAGCTCCAGTCCAGAGCTCCCGTCCAGAGCTCCAGTCCAGAGCTCCCGTCCAGAGCTCCAGTACAGAGCTCCCGTCCAGAGCTCCAGTCAAGAGCTCCAGTCCAGAGCTCCAGTCCAGAGCTGCAGTCCAGAGCTCCCGTCCAGAGCTCCCGTCCAGAGCTCCAGTCCAGAGCTCCAGTCCAGAGCTCCAGTCCAGAGCTCCAGTCCAGAGCTCCAGTCCAGAGCTCCAGTCCAGAGCTCCCGTCCAGAGCTCCAGTCCAGAGCTCCAGTCCAGAGCTCCAGTCCAGAGCTCCAGTCCAGAGCTCCAGCCCAGAGCTCCAGTCCAGAGCTCCAGTCCAGAGCTCCAGTCCAGAGCTCCAGTCCAGAGCTCCCGTCCAGAGCTCCAGACCAGAGCTCCAGTCCAGAGCTCCCGTCCAGAGCTCCAGTCCAGAGCTCCAGTCCAGAGCTCCAGTCCAGAGCTCCAGTCCAGAGCTCCCGTCCAGAGCTCCCGTCCAGAGCTCCAGTCCAGAGCTCCAGTCCAGAGCTCCAGTCCAGAGCTCCAGTCCAGAGCTCCAGTCCAGAGCTCCAGTCCAGAGCTCCCGTCCAGAGCTCCAGTCCAGAGCTCCAGTCCAGAGCTCCAGTCCAGAGCTCCCGTCCAGAGCTCCAGTCCAGAGCTCCAGTCCAGAGCTCCAGTCCAGAGCTCCAGTCCAGAGCTCCAGTCCAGAGCTCCCGTCCAGAGCTCCAGTCCAGAGCTCCCGTCCAGAGCTCCCGTCCAGAGCTCCAGTCCAGAGCTCCCGTCCAGAGCTCCAGTCCAGAGCTCCAGTCCAGAGCTCCAGTCCAGAGCTCCAGTCCAGAGCTCCAGTCCAGAGCTCCAGTCCAGAGCTCCCGTCCAGAGCTCCAGTCCAGAGCTCCCGTCCAGAGCTCCCGTCCAGAGCTCCAGTCCAGAGCTCCAGTCCAGAGCTCCAGTCCAGAGCTCCAGTCCAGAGCTCCCGTCCAGAGCTCCAGTCCAGAGCTCCAGTCCAGAGCTCCAGTCCAGAGCTCCAGTCCAGAGCTCCAGTCCAGAGCTTCAGTCCAGAGCTCCAGTCCAGAGCTCCAGTCCAGAGCTCCCGTCCAGAGCTCCAGTCCAGAGCTCCCGTCCAGAGCTCCAGTCCAGAGCTCCAGTCCAGAGCTCCAGTCCAGAGCTCCCGTTCAGAGCTCCAGTCCAGAGCTCCAGTCCAGAGCTCCAGTCCAGAGCTCCAGTCCAGAGCTCCAGTCCAGAGCTCCAGTCCAGAGCTCCAGTCCAGAGCTCCCGTCCAGAGCTCCAGTCCAGAGCTCCAGTCCAGAGCTCCAGTCCAGAGCTCCAGTCCAGAGCTCCAGTCCAGAGCTCCAGTCCAGAGCTCCCGTCCAGAGCTCCAGTCCAGAGCTCCCGTCCAGAGCTCCAGTCCAGAGCTCCAGTCCAGAGCTCCAGTCCAGAGCTCCCGTCCAGAGCTCCAGTCCAGAGCTCCAGTCCAGAGCTCCAGTCCAGAGCTCCAGTCCAGAGCTCCAGCCCAGAGCTCCAGTCCAGAGCTCCAGTCCAGAGCTCCCGTCCAGAGCTCCAGTCCAGAGCTCCAGTCCAGAGCTCCAGTCCAGAGCTCCAGTCCAGAGCTCCAGTCCAGAGCTCCAGTCCAGAGCTCCAGTCAAGAGCTCCCGTCCAGAGCTCCAGTCCAGAGCTCCCGTCCAGAGCTCCAGTACAGAGCTCCCGTCCAGAGCTCCAGTCCAGAGCTCCAGTCCAGAGCTCCAGTCCAGAGCTGCAGTCCAGAGCTCCCGTCCAGAGCTCCCGTCCAGAGCTCCAGTCCAGAGCTCCAGTCCAGAGCTCCAGTCCAGAGCTC